TTATAGAACTTCAATTCATTTTTAATTTAATTATGTTAAAATTGATGTTAACAAATGGAATTTTTATATTTATACAATATAAATGCTAGTAATTAATAATTTAAATATTAATAGATAAATGAATATTTATATTTTATTATTAAAAAAGAAACATGCTACATTCAAATTTTATAAATAAGAGAATAAAAATAAAAATTGACAATAACAATCATCCTAATTGGCTTTCCAATAAAGATAGAGCTATAGAATCTCTAAGTGAAATCATATTATGATCCTCCATTATATAATTAAGATTATCTTGGGAAATTCTTTCACTTATGGTCTCTTTCCTAGGTGCTTTAGGCAAAAATTCTAAATCAACAGCATCTTCAACCCTTACTTCACTCACATCTTGATATGGAAAAACAGCACTAGCAGCTGGGGTCCATGCAATTCCACCCATTGTCACTATTTTATCAAACATTCTCTCGAGCTCTGCTGCATTTTCTAATCCACCATGCTCAAACTTGGCAAATTTTTTATTCTCCTATAATAATTAACATCATAAAGGATAAAATAAATTATGAATTTAAAGTTAAAATTAGCATATCAACATTCACAATTTTAAAATCATTACTAATAACAAAATAGTACTAACCGCTTTCAATGTAGCATATCGTTGAGGAGTAGCATCAATGGTACCCTTTTTATGGTTCCACCCTAACCATGTTTCTTGTTTTAAAAGTTGATTCCACAAAACCCAATCACATTTTAATGAATCCCACTTATTTCTTAATTATTTATAATTATAAGTTTTATTTGCTCTTGCATTGATTTTTGTTCTACATTTTTCCACCCTGTTTTATTAAAAGTAACAGTGGGATGATTACCAACCATAACCTCTTCAAAACAGACCTCACAGAAAATTTTAGTTGTAATTACATCCCATACTGCCTTTGTCCTTGGGGCTGCCATCTTATATATTTGAAATGATTTTTTGGTTTAAACAATATCTATAAAAATATAAACTTGACAGTATTAGTAATAGTAACATTAACAATCTTAACACATGCTTAGATGTAAAAATAACAATATAAGCAATGACATAACAGCTTGGAGATGCCAAACAAATTTCTGTATTTGAATTAAACATTTTAGGGATCGGAGGCTTACTCAGACTATTATCCATAGAACAAAAACAATATTAGATTGGGTAGTTATCAAAAGTGTAGTCCACCTCCTTGAATAGGGTTGAACTCCCATCCCAACCCCTTTTCTCTCACCCTTTTCCCGAAAACAATTTTATCGAGTCAAGAGGAAAAAAAAAAACAATTATTCAACAAAGACAAACTGAAAAAGAGACTAGGCTTTGGCTTTTCAAGAACAGAGATATTAAACGAGGAAGATTGTCATCATTTTGGAATCACTTGAATGCATGCAGTAATTTGTAAAGAGGAGCTGTCTTGAAATAGAACGAATTTAATTTATACAGGTAAAGACAGAGTACAATTAAAAATGATGACAAGTTCATGTAAGAAAAAGGACAAAGGTCTCAATAATAACGAATATCATTTTTCTTGCCCAGACCAATTCTTATTGTTGTTTTTTATGATACAAGATAATAATGTTAATTATCGATTTCTCAAACAAAGATCATGTTACGATTCTGTTTGCATTTGAATGCTGATATAATTGAACAATACGTAAGATCAGTACAATAAGGGGGAAAAGCCTGCCTTACGAGTATGATAGAAAACCAATTCCTGGTTCACTATATTATCCACCCCATTGCACACCTTCTCAAACTTATGGTAAAAGTCCTTGGGCCACAATGTACCATTAAGTTATAAATCCATTATCAATATCATATAATTGGAGCCACTATTTCACACACCTAAGTCTTAGAAAATATGCAAATCATAAAAAATTTTAAAAAGGCTCAAACAACATGACTCACAAGAACACAACTCAGAAAACAATAAAATCTCATTCTTGTTTTCCAAAGGAAAAACTACATGAAATCAGAAAAGGTTCCCATTTTTTTTTCTCAGAAAAGAAAGTTTCAGAATCCATATCACTCATTCATATGAACACCCACACATACACAATTAATTATACATTCATGAATACATACATACATACACATACACGTATGAGATAGAGATGAGTAGAATAAAAAATTTAAAATTTTTGCACAATGATCTATAGTTTCTCTAGCATTGAAAGAATGTTACATTCATTGATGACCCAATACATACAAGCACATACAACTAGAAACACTGAAGAAATTCAACCAAATTCCCTCAAAAGTCTAACTGAAGAAAAAAAAAATCCTAGAAGGTGAGAGGATTACCGACAAGTCGAGGCTAGCCGCTGATGATAGAATCAACTTTGCCGCACCACGGTTTGGTAAAAGGAGGTTTTGGGAGAGTGGCATTTATATGTTGTCCCACTCGGAGTTAGTCGCTAGTGAATTATAAAGGAGGCGTTGTTTTTGGAATTTCAAATTTTTTTTTGGTAAATAAAGCGCTAACAAAAGTTACGGTTTGCACTATCATACTAGCACCAGCAACGCACACTAAAAACAAGAATTCAATAAAATACATGGAATAAAATGATCAAAAGCATAGATTCAATAGCCTTTAAAATCAAACCACCAACCTAAAAAAACTAGAAAAAACAATAATAAGCCACTGGATCTGGAAGCTTACCGGTTAAAGATTGATGCACACCACTGGATTTGGGATTGATGTCGGAAAACTAAGCTTCAATAGACTAGCAAGATCGGGATAAGGTAAATCGTTCCAATTGGGTGAGAATGAAGAGGAAAAGTGACCGAAAGAAAAAGATACTTACTGATTGGGTACTGAGTACACCACTGGATCTGGGATTGATGTTGGAAAATCGAGCTTCAATAGAGCAGCAAGATCGGGATAAGAAAAGTAGAAGTACTTTTTGGGTAAGAATGAAGAAGAAAAGAGACCCAAAGGAGGAGATACTTACTGATTGGGACTGAGCACACCACTAGATCTGGGATTGATGTAACAGACTGGGCTTCAATATAGCAGCAAGATCGAGATAAGCAAAGCAGAAGTACTTTTTGGGTGAGAATGAAGAAGAAAAGAGACCGAAAGAAGGAGATGGAAGCGATGGCAAATAAACTGGAACAGAGGAAATCAACAGATGGAGAAAATGAGAATAAGGAAAAAAAAGGGGTTTGGGTTATAAATGAGGAGGTATATATAGTGGTTTAGTCGTAAATTTATTAAAATATAAGGGTAAAATAGGTAAAATTGGCCAATTTCATTAAAAGGAAATGGGAAGCTCCTGCAAAAGCTTCAAATTCTTGCTTCTCAATTTTCAAAAGGTGGAAGCTAACTTTTGCTTCTCGGGAGCTGAAGCCAATCTTAAAAGTTAGGATGTTTGGTGCAGTTGGACCTTTTGGACTTCAAAAGGTCTTCCACCAGCTACACCAAACACCCACGAAGCAGGGGATACAACATACTAGACAACCCTAAATACACCACTTAAAAGCTAATTGGCATAGCAGAAAACATCACAAGAGAAAGATAAAAGAAAAGCCAAACCCCAAAGTACAAAAGCTTGTAATCCTAGGACATGTACTTCAACATGAAATCATGATACTCCTCAAACAAGAATAGGATCCACAAACAATGAGGCAATTTGGTCTTTCAATAAGTAAGACCTTGTGTAAGCATCATCGTCCTTGTTTAGTAGATCCAATGTGCGTGTCATGTTGACAATGCGAGTAATAAGAGGGGTCGGAAAGATTGTTGGTATCATTCCCTCCTTATTGATCACTTTCCATGCATCCACAATTTCTCTCTTAAGTGATTCTACAGCTTCTTCCTTTGAAACACAATGTTGCTTCATGTAGCATTCAACAGCTGAGGCGTGGTGATCCCGCTGTCTTTCAAACTACAAATGAACAAAATGTATCCAAATCAAAACACACGTCAAGCACTTGTCACATACATACATACATACATACCTGATGAGATGCAACGTCGTTCATTACTCTTCCAATAAATGAACAAGCCTCAACTATATTAGGATTTTCAAAAATCCAATCAAACGCTTCCTTAGACGCAACCTTTCCCATGCGGCTATGACCAATGGAATGCCACTGCTTATGAGGCCATTGTGCATATACTCCTCATATGATGGAACACAACCTTCTTCACGCCACTTGGCTTCAACTAGGTAACTTTTAGCAAGTTGTTTCATCTGTTTAGTAAACAACCAAATTAAAATGGCATAACAGGGTTACTAATGATATAATATTATAAATCATTATAGAAAGTTATCCAAGAAGATTACTGATTCCTTTCCGTAATGTGCAGCGTACTGTCTTCCTTCTTTTGCAACGTCGCCCTCAATCGCACTGTAAAGATCTAATAGTGCCTGATAAGCTAATTTCATGTAGTTTGGAAGTTGATCTATGACTCCAATATCCCATCTGTGATTCAATATACATGTATAGAAAAATTGATTATTAATTAATTTCCATTTTAAGAAATTAAATATATTGGTTAGTGTTGTTTTATTCAAAATCACATTAAAATTAAAGTGAAAATAATCTAGGAAGAATTTAATTACCTTTCAATACATTTCTCGAAGATCTTGAGCTCTTCAGGTCCCGTAGCTATCAAAAATATCATCCACAATGGATGTTATTGCTAATGCTTTGGCCAGAAATACTCTTGCTGCAGAGTATTTTGGCTCATAGTAGATTCCCATCATCCAAAAATAGCACTCTATCAATCTATCCCTTGCATAAGGCAACTTTGATGTGATGTCCAATTTTTTCCACCACCTAAAAACGAGCCATGCCGTAATTATTAGTATAGTGACGAGCATTATATATATATATATGTGTGTACATATGTACAATGTATAGTCTTCTTTACATATTTGAACTTACTCAGTGATTCTGCTTAGCTCCTGTCGGTGCAATGCTTGTACCGTATTGAAATCTATCTCTGCAAATCTTAATAATGCTTCGTGACAGAAAGCAAAGTGATCATCTTGAGAGTATAAGGATATGTAACGCTTTGCTTCTGTTCTGGGAAAGCTTTTCTGGATGGGTCGGTTCAAGGCATGAGTTATTTGTTCTATAAGCTGAGTGCTTATCTGTTTTTGA